AGGGAGCCTGATGCGGGACTCGATCCAGGGACTCCGGGATCATGACCTGAGCCGAAGGCAGTCGCTTAACCAACTGAGCCACCCAGGCGCCCTATAAATAGTTCTTAACAGATGTAATGAAGGGGAAAGTGTAGTAACAACAGAAAAACAATAGTAATGGTAGCCAACATTATTTGAGCACTTATTATGTACCAAGCATGGCTTGAACCTCTTTGTGTGAACGTGTTCATTTAATTCTTTTCTTTTTAAAAGATTTTATTTATTTATTTGACAGAAAGAGAGAGAGAGCACAAGTGGGGGGAGCAGGAGAGGGAGTAGCCAGGGAGCCCAATGTGGGGCTCCATCCCAGGACCCTGGGATCATGACCTGAGCCCAAGGCAGATGCTTAACCAGCTGAGCCACCCAGGCATCCCTCATTTAATTCTTATAGCTACCTTGTGAATTAAGTCCTTTTTTATCCTGATTTTATGGATGAGGAAGCTGAGGCTCAGAGAGCATAACTAACTTGCCCAAGGTCACACAGCGTTCAAACTGGGCTGCTTAGCTCCAAAGGCCGAGGCATTATGCTGCTGCCCATGGAGATACAGAGAGAGTTTGAGATGGGTGGAGGGGAAGGGGGATGAGGGAGGAGCTTTGGGGTAGACCAGCACATGCACCTTCCACTCTGCACACTGAGTCAGGAGCCCCACCTGGTTTCTGAGGATGGGTCAGTCTATCCACTGGGAGCACATTCACCCTGCAGGCCTTGCCTAATGCCACAACACTCTGTCTCCTCTCCCTTCCAGGAGCTGGAGAAGCTCGGCCTTGGTGACAGCGTGGACCTGCATGTGTATGAGATTCCGGTCGAGTACCAGACGGTCCAGAGGCTCATCCCTGCCCTGTGGGAGAAGCACAGCCCACAGGTGAGTGGGGCGAAGGCAGGTGCTCCCTCATCAGGACCTGCAGGTGGGCACTCCACACGGATGATTTGTTTGGCTTTGTCCTGCTTCAGCCAGTGCCATGGCCTTGTCCCCCAAAGGGCCACACTTTCCTGGGTTACCCGTGGGTGTGAGGCAGGAGAGCAAACATCTGGGACCTCCCAGAAGCTGGCTCTGTCTCACTGGACAGTCAGTATCAGTTGTGACATGTTTAGTTATATGTGACCATCAGAACACACCTTAACTCAGCTTAAGCACAAACGTTTGTACGCTTCAGGTATAGCTTGATCCAGGCACTCCCCCAGTGCTATCAGCGTTCCCTCTTGGCCATTCAGCTTTGCTCTGCACTTTGCTTTTGCTTTGGCAAAAATAGATGACTGCTGACTGATACCCTCCCAACTCAGCCCCTCAGCAGAACAACTTTCCTTTTGATAATTTCCCAGAGTCCATGGCTGATTCTCACTGGTGCACTTGGGTCCCATGCCAGTCCCTGAGCCAAGCACTATGGCTGGGGATTGGAGGAAGGAAGACATGCTCTGATTTGTGAGGCCTGGGTCACATGCCTACTTTGGTGGCCAGGGAGTGGCATCACCTCTCTCCAAACTTCCTGGAAGGGGAAGGGGGATTTGGGGGTTCCACAAAGGGAAAATGAGAATGGGAGGGAACAGGCTATTGCCAGATATGGTGGAATGGAGGCCAGACAAGCTGGAGCCACACTGTCCCACCAGATGATCCGTGTGGCCCTGCCAAAACAATGGGCTTAGAGAGCTCCAGGGGGTCAGGAGTGAAAGCTGCCTGGGAAGTTCTCGGGGGTTGGCGTCTCTGATGGGTGAGGTACTGGTCACCTGTGGGGGCCCCACCCAGCTTCCCACGCTACCCCGCTCTTGTGGATTTCCCAGGGCCAACCCGTGGAAACTTCCTTCCTCGTGAGCCCTTCTGTCTAGTCTCAAGTGGAATTTTTGCCGTTGTAGAGGGGGACCTAGAAGGTTAGTGAGACGTGACTGAAGGCTCTGTCAGAGGGCATTTTCTTCTGCTTTGTGCGTGCCGTCGGGCCTTTAACAAAAATACCTTAAAGCATGAACATGTTTTTCAAAATTTCTACGCCATAGAGAATCACCCCTGCTTAGTTACCTGGCACCACGATTATGGCTATCACTCAGGCATGTATCCGCATACCCGCGTGTGCACGGACGCGCGTGTGCGCACACGCGTGCGGTTGAAGCAATCCGCGTGGCTACTGCGGAATTGCAGAAATGCATTCTCATATTCCCGGAGGCCGGTAGTCCGCAATCCGGGCGTCAGAGCGGCACCCCCTCCCGCCAGGGCGCGGGGCATTGCTGGTCTCCTCCAGCTCCTGCAGGCTCCACGCGTTCCTTGGCTGGTGGCCGGGTCACTCCGGTGTCTGTGGTCACATGGACTTCTCCACCTGTCTCTGTCTTTCCTTCATGTGTCTCTGAAGGACACGCGTCAGTGGATTTGGGGCCCACCCAGAGAGTGCAGGGGGATCGCATCACGCGATCCTTTACTTAATCACATCTGTAAAAGACCCTTTTTCCAAATAAGATCTCAGTCACGGTTTCCAGGCAGTGGACAGGGGTGGTTTTGTTTGTTTGTTTTTTGTTTTTTGGGGCTGTTTTTTTTGTTGTTGTTGTTTTGTTTTTTGTTTTTTGGGTTTTTTTTTTTTTTTTTTTTTGGTATGAGGGGAATATCACCATTCAGCTCATTATACTACAGCTGCTGCTTTGTTTTCACATTCCCCAATATTCAGTTTTTGGAGCGCCAGATAACACAGTACCAGATGTGGGGCATCCAGTTAGTGAATGAATGAACTTTGTACCTCCAAAGAGTTTGATTTTCCAGCAGTGTGGCCCTCTAGACCTTATCATGCCATTTCGTAGGACCCTTTACATTTTCCACCA